AGATCCGTCGACGAGGGGCGAAACGCAAGCAGAAGGAAGCGGAAATCGATTTTCGAAAGGTTCCGATAATTAACTCCGGCTTCCATCGGATCGAAGGGAGAAAAGAAACACACCGATCGTTATTTCAGTTGGCGAAGTAAAACGGTGTTTGCATGGGGAACGGAAAAGGTTCCGTTCTGCCTGTTTCCATCCGTCGTCCACTTGGCGGAGCGTAACGACCGAACGAGCCAACCCAACAGCCAACCCGGCCGCCAGACACGATGGACTGGGAACCGTCTGGTAGACCTTGAACGGCCCTTTAACTGGTTGCACTCGAGTCAAGGTTGTCTTCTTCCTCTTTCCACGCCGCTGTTGCGCCCGCGGCATTAGGGGGAGGAGGGGAGGGGAGAGAGGAGGGGGACCGGATGAATAGGGTCGTGGGTTCGCCACTTTGTCAAGGTCGTAACCATCCATCGCCGCCGCCATGCCATGTTTTACCTCGGCAGACCGGTAAAAATCGATGCTTTCGAATATTTTGGATGGGTTTCTTTTTTTTTTTGTTCTTTTTTAAAACTTGATCGATGTGTCGTGCGACGTGCCTTCAAGGTCGGGCAACGTTATTGGATGATAATTGGTTTTTCGTTGGCTTTGAGAAACAGGCGGGGAAGGAAGAGAAGCGAAAGGTCTTGCAAAAGGTTATCGTATTCTTTAACTCGATCCAACTTGCCTCGAGGGTATAATAAGAATTTTATTGAATAATAATTGCTTTTTCATTCGATGCTTTCACAACGATGAATATAATCTTGAGAGAAGGCTCCTCCTTTTCGATTTTTTTTATTATTCGCGTTGAAGAATGTTGTTTGCGGAAATAAGAATGGTATCGAATAAATCCTTTTCCAATCTTAAGCTTCGAACGAATAATTCTGCAAACAAGTTCATCCTTCGATTTTAGTATATATATATATTATCTCAATTCCTTTCTCACTAGATCGGTCGTTATTATTTTATTTGCGCATAGCAAGTTGTGTTGCGAATTAAGAATGTAGTTGGGCCACGACGACGACGAGGTAGCAGAATCGATGACTGTGCGTGTTACGTGTGACTGTACGTGTGTAGATGTACAATCGTGTATCCCGGCAACCGTAACCAAATAACTTTGGAAAGGGTTGGAGGATAGACCCAAGAGACGGCATTCCTTATCATTACATCCCATAAACATTATCCTCGGTTCCATCGAGAATGATTCCTCGATCCGGCTACGAGAAATCGAGCGGAGGTAGCACGGAGGCAGCCTGTGGCACGTAGGAGAGACGGAGGCGGCGAAGGAGAAGAGTTAGAAGGAGGAGTGAGAACGGAGAGAGGGGCGCTTGGAGAAGGCGGTTGTATAAATGTTCCCAGTGTCGGAGTGGAATAAGACTTCAACTTTCCAAATGGAAGTTCCATAAATCAATAATTCATTCCCTGCAATTCGATTAATTCAAAAAAAATTTCTACCGAGTGATTGAAAGGATTTTTTCTTTCTTTTTTTATCGTCGATTCACTGCAACGCTCGCGTTGTGTAAAAGGGATTTTTTTACAACACGACAACAAGTCAGACGAAAATGACACGTCGAAGAAACGAGAGGAAAAGAAGAGGCGAGAGGCACTTTCGAACGAAAGTTTCGTATTTTATACTCGGTGTACATGCTTTATCGTTACATCCATCCATAAATCCATCCGTTGCAAGGTCTGAAAAAATTAATTCAAAAAAAAAAAGAAGAAACTTTTACAAGCGAAGAATAGTCGAAGAAGCATGCTAAAAGAGGAGGTCAAGGAAAAAAAAAAGGAACGACAGAAACTTTCGAATGAAAGTTTCGTATTTTATACACGGTATACATGCTTCATTGTCACATTCATCCATAAATCTATCCACTGCAAGGTCTCGACAAAAAAAAAAAATTCTACAAAACGAATTCGTTCGAAAGATTCTTACAAGGATTATTATAATTCAATAATGATCGAAACGATGATCGTCCAATATTGATTAAAAAAAAATATATTTACAGATTGACTCAAAAGAGATAACTTTCGCGTTTATACACTCCATGAATCCATCCACGATAAACGAAAAAAGTTTAAAAAAGCCATCGATATTAATCTAAAAGAATAAAAAAAATATCCACGAAACTTTGAAAAGATTTTTTTCGACGCATGGACGAAAAGACGAGGCCCGTAGAACGAGTATCCAATATGCAAAGTGGCCGCGCGTTTCAGGTACCATCGGCGTAACTCATCGAAATATCGTTGCTCGTGACGGGTAGCGCAGCAGAGAGTGTACAGAGCTGATAGGAACCACCATTACCCATCCCTCTGTTCGAAGGAACCCCGCGTACAACCACCTACAACCCCTGTGTACAATCTCCGCGCGGCTAACAGACCGATCGAGAGCCCCGGGCCTTCGATCGCGACTACCCCTCCAAACCTTGCTACACCCGATGCTAATTAACTGCTCCAACCGATTCGCGCCGCTCTTCGTAAAGAGGATTGTTTTATCGCGTCGCGATTTCGTTAAGCGAGATTTTCTTTCTTTTTTTTTTTTCCTCCGAAAGGAAAGGTTTGAAGAGGTTTGGATAAAAGAAGTTGGAGTAACAGGTATAATTTAACGTTGCAAAAGTGATACACGCTGTCTTGCGAAGAAAATTTCGTTTGGAAAGTATTTTGCATATAACAGGGCATCGAAAACTGAATATTTCGTAGTTGAAAGTTTGCTCTTTGATTGATTTCACGATAATCACGATATTCACACTAGTGAAAAAAATTTCTTCGTTTTCTTTCAGACTTGTTTGTGAAAACGTTATTACGTTTCCTTACAGAATTAATTTTTCCTTAAATTAGCTGATACTTCACGAAATATCAATTTCCTTCTTTTCTGATTCCTCGTTGGAAAAAATCTGGAGGAAATTTCACGAGGAAGAGGAGATTTCGCGTGCAGATCGTTCCGCGGAATGTTTGAGGATCCGTCGAACAGAATTTACTCGCCGGGATTGGTGTTTGCGGGACGCAGCCGAGATACCGGGGAAATATTACGCGGGTGGTTGTTTACGCTTCGCGTGTTTTGTTTATCGATTCGCGGAAGAACCCTCCCCCCCTAGGGATGAAAGTTCGCGGACGAAACGAGAAGGAGACTCTCGAAACGAGAAGGCAGGAAATTATAATCCGGTTAGACTGTTTTTCTTCCTACAAACAGAGGACGTTCGAGTCTTTGAGAGGGATCAAAATCAAAATGGGATGTTTGAAACGTCTCTTACGAAATTTTCCGTAACCTTCGTCCTCTTTATGCCAAAGAGAAAGTGGTTATGCGCCAATTTACGCGCAACAGAATTACATCGAAGGTAGATGGGGAGAAAAGAATTTGAAGAATTTCTTCGTACGCGATCGACGATTGATCCGTGTTTCAATAAAAGAATCCTTGGTGAGTATTGCAATAAAAAATTCAAAACGCGACTCTCGAAATAAAAACATAGTGACGCAGACATATGTGTCATTCGCCCTAAGATAAGAAAATTCTTATCACCCACGTCGATTATGTCAATGCACTTGCTTGCATTTTTTTTTATCGTAAAAATGACGTTTAATAAACAATTATCAATCGCGACGTGATTGGCGAGATTGGAAAGCAACGAAGGGATGCTCAAAATCTTGGTCGTAAATAAACCTCTCGTGTTTAAAATAATAAATAAAATCAATAACCGGTTGCATGGAGCTCAGACTCGTTAATAATTCGTTTGATAAGCGACGCTCTGAAACGAAGTGATAATTGACGGAACAACGTTAAGCCTTAACGTTCCAATCTTTCATGAATATTTATTTTCCTCCTATAATCGCTCCGATTAATTTATCCTTTAATATCGACCGAGCAAACCGGTCGATATATTATATACCGGTTTCTGATTCCAATTCGTGCAATTTCACGGATGGAATCGAACATATCGTAGACAAGTTTTAATAGAAAGAGAGAGAGAGAAAGAATTCGAATCTTTTATGGATTATCGCTTAATTCGAATTCGAACAGATTAATATTCTAGTTTATCCAAATACTTGTAAAATTTTTCAGATCGATAAACACTCAGCTTCTAATGATATTCGAATTAAATACTAAACGAGTTTTTGCACGTCTTTGGATTTGACTTGGATTTATAGTATGGGTATTGAACTTGATCCCATCATTAATTTAATTCATTGCTCGAAAGCGTGATTCACTTCGATCGTACTCAATTTTAACGCGACGTTAATTCGTACCTGGAAGATGATGGAGGATTTGATCGATATTCAAAAATTAGATTTCTTGAACTTATACGTACGATTAACCACCCGTTCTCCGTCTCTTGATCTTATCCATACGTCCGGATGAGTTTTGATTCATCGCGTAATCCTCGTTGGAAACAAGATTTGTTGTTGGCGAAATTGATTGAAAATCAATGATGCGAAATCCTTTGATTTAGGATCGTTTATCAACGTGTAATAACAGGTAGGCGAATGCACGTGTCGAATCGATGTTGTTGTTGTTTCATTATTCGTTTTTTATGTGAGATTTTCCACGAAATGAATTATTACTTACACGAATGAATGATAACCGATGATAAGATTTAAAATCAATGCAATTTTTTATTAGATTAATATTGATAATTATCCAGTAAGTCTATGATTCAATTGGGTTAATATATCGTTAAGACAATTTCAATTTCTAAATAAATGATAAAAATCAAGTAGGGAGTAGCTGTTATTAGATTTGATCGTTATCTGGATACGATTACTTCATTTTCGACTTCATTTTAGTGGACGAATATCGAGCGTAAATTTGATAAACGATTATTTTTACACGTGGAAAATAATTATATTCGAATGTTATAATTCTTACCAAGATTCCTTCCTTCAATAATTTTAATGTAATTAATAATCTCTTCAATAATTTCACTCGTTATTTTATAGATAAAAGATATCACCTGATAATGGAGATAATATCCGATAATGCTTTGTATTTCTAATCGTATTATCATTTAGTGGAGAACAATCGATGGAAGAGGATCTCTTTTTTGGTGGTGAAAATGAAACTAGAATATATTCCAAGGGAATTTGTACAAAAACGATTAGTTTATCAAAGGAAGATGTCGTTAACTTCTTTCGCTTTAGGATTCTTGTTTGCCATAACTTATTTGACGATTGGTAAGTGAAAATGTTCAACACTTTGATGAATAGTCTGACAATGTCATTCTCGTTTTTTACTTAATTTATTAATAAATTATACGTGATTTGTCGCACGTGCAAAAGATACGAATGTAAAATAATAATATTATCCATTAAAAATTATTTATAGACATCGATACACAATCGATTAATCCAGAGACTAGTTCGAATCCGAATCCAAAAATGGAATGGACGATTTATGATCTGCTTGGTCGTATAGTTAATGGGTCAAAAGCATCTTTGAGACAATTTCCTTATCAGGTACACGTGTTGTAGAAACATTTTCGTTTCTCGAATATTCCTCGATACGTTATTTTTACGTTGGTTTTATATATATATATATATTTTATCAATCCATTGTGATTACATATAATCGATTAGATTTCAAGAAAAAAAATCTGTTCTTATTTTCTCTTGAATTATTACATAGGTATCCTTGAGAGAAACTCACAGCTCTGTACATTTTTGCGGAGGAGCGTTGATACACGAAAAATACGTTCTCACAGCTGCCCATTGTATGTTCGACCAGTGAGTTACGAATATATCAATATATCAAACTTGAAAGAGATACAGACAATTTTCATTGATAAGAGTATCAATTATCAAGTGTCAAATTCATTGTTCTCGTTATATCAATCTGGTTTTCATAGAGGTGTACAAATACAACCTTGGATGATCACTATAGTTGCCGGTGAACTTCAACTCTGGCAGCCAACCTCGACTGGTCAGAGAAGAGGCGTAGAAAAGATCCACGTTCATCCTAATTTCAATAGCATCACGTTAGAAAACGACATAACTATTCTTACTGTACTGATCTTTTTGCAAATCTATCAACGCTCTATAAACTTTGTCATCTTACAAATGTCCGTTTTCCAGCTCAAAATAGCGTTCAGATTGACACCTGAAGTGAACATAGCCCCTTTGGCGGATCACACTCCTATTCCAGCGACGATCTGTCAGGTGGCAGGATGGGGTTATCCAAGCGAAGTACAAATCCGTTCTATTGGTTTAAATATCGTCCTCGTCAATTATTCCTTTTTTCTTTTTTTACTTATCTTTTATTTAAACTTTATCGTCTCTCTTTCAGAATTTTCCTGTGACGAGCGAGGATCTTATGTACGTGGATTTACCACTGATGAGCCGTGACTTATGTAAGAAACTTTTGGAAAACGTAACAGACTTCCCACCAGGGATGATTTGTGCTGGATACATGGAGGGTCAAAAAGACGCTTGCCAAGTAACTTTTTTTTTTTAAAAAAAAGAAAAGAAAAAAATTTAACAGAGATTACATCAAAATTTACTTTGGTCGAATAATTGATCCAAAGACGGATTAATCATCCATAAAGAATTTTTTTTTTATCGAGTCCCATAGAAATCGTAAACTCATCGTTCGAAGAATTTAATTTAATTAAAGTTCTTTCCACGTTAAACGATAACGTTTGATTTTTCGTCCCAGGGCGATTCTGGAGGCGGTATGATGTGTAACGGCGAGCTAACCGGTGTAGTTTCCGGTGGAGACGGTTGCGCTCGTCCACGTACCCCTGGTGTTTACACAGATGTCTATTTCTACACCAGTTGGATCGCGGAAGTCACGGAAGAAGATGTGTTCCTTAAAAAAAGGATGGCAATTAAAGACGATGAGTCAGGCACGGAACAGGTGATGGCCTCCACGATCTTGCCATCGATTGCTTTTTCTATATTGTACCATGTCCGATAAATGTTTTCTTTTTTTTTAAATTAAATATGTACATATATATATCATACTCAATACAGAAATATGTTTTTTTCATTAACTATATATTTTCGCTGAAAAAAAAACGATAATAAATTTATTTTTTTTTTTGCATTGCAGAAAATATTATGACAATAAAATTGGATCATACCGACGTAAAAAATATCCAGCATATCACCACTATGTCCAGACTATTCTGAAACTTTCCGTTTTTTAAAATTTCATGTGATTTCTTTCTTTTTCTTCTCCCCCTTTTTTCGTCTGTACGGATTTTCTTTATTTTTATTTATACATTTATGTAATTATTATTTTCTGATAAATAAAAACATCTGATTAAAAAACATCTCTAACTTGAAATAAAATATTATTATAATTAGAATAGAAAAAAAATAGAAAAAAAAATATAATTTTTTTGAAAATCAATCTACGAAACCAATTAATTAACCTTTATAGTATCTTTTCATATTTTAAAATTCTAGAAATACATTGTCAATAAACGAATCTCGTTCATAAATTATCAAAAACTCCATGTTCTATTTCAAAAAAAAATCGTGATGTCACGTTTCGATCATTCGCAAAAATAGTAGAAATCTTTGAAATTCTAAGTCGATAATTGTTTAACAGTGGGCGATTTTTCATCAATTAGCTCGAAAACTGAAAGAAAAAAATACACGTTTGTACCTTTGATATTGTAAAACTTTGTTCATATGAGCTAATGAGTACTAGTAACGTTGCCAGTCAATGTCGAACGATAATCTCGCCACGTCTGACGATTCCCATCCGTTTCTACTGAATTTCCTCGCTCCTCAAAGGAAGGACTCGTCTTCGAGATATTAGAAGAAAATATTTATCCGTACCGGAGGAAGGAGAGGCGGAAAGTCGATGGATGTACGAATCGAAGCCAATTATCAGGCAAAAACCTTTGGGGAGTAACAGGATTCTTCATGGTACGAACCACGGAACGTGAGAAGCTATGTTTTCCTTCAATCTGTCGCCCAATTTCTATTACCAAAATCGATTGTTTCGGGATGATGCGTAAAAATCGTGATGCGACTCCCTGATTTATTTTTGTAACGACGTTGATAATACCATCAATTCTTCCTGGCTGTTCGATCACTTTGTTCAATTCTTAGAAGAAAATATTTAAATATTCGAAACTTCATCTGATAACTTTGGCCATCTTCCTGTTCAATCACGTTCGATTCTCCTGTACTTGCTCTGTAGAGGAAAAGATTTGGAAGAAAATATTTCGCAATTGGAAATTTAACAAATTTTGTCATTGTGACAAGGATTAAGACGTAATTATCAAGATTGCATCGCGTGACCGCAATTCACCGAGGAAGGCTTCCGTTTCCGAAAGTTAATCCACGTCGAAACCCGAAAGGTGGTCGGTTTTCGGCGAGGGTGTATCGCGGATCGATGGGCGGGCACGATCGTAAAGAAGAGGGGGACAGAGAGAGGGGTGGCGAAAGAAGCCTGTACAAGGGTGAACTTATAGTCTCGAAAACTGCGCGCACCGTGATAAACGTAACTTCTAATACACGATATCCACCCTCCTGATCTCTCCTCCTCCCCCCACCCGGCTTACCCACGAATTTTTCACGGAGTTGCATCCTCCCTGGATTTCCACCACCCTCGCGAGGGCCGCGACCTCTTTAATTCCACGGATCGAATAAGAATTCATTAGAGCGCCATCCCCCGTTAGGGGGGAGGGTTTTAAATAAATTAAAAGTTTACTTTTTCTCGCCGCAACTTTAGCCACTGGCCGCGATGGAAATGGTTTCGAGGGTGAAATCGAATCCCCACTTTTCTCTCTAATTACTCCTCCCGGGAAGGATAAAGGGGGGAGACTTGCAGAAATCTATTCGCCGAGAGTTCTGGTCCTGGAGAATTCGAACTCGGAATTGGCCGAGAGTTTTCAGACTTTGAACAAGCGAACGAGCAATTCGAGACGGAGATGGAACGATGTTCTCATGGACGAATATCGGTGTTAATATCCCGTGGTTCATCTCGATCGAAATAGGATTGCGATTTAATGAGAGTTCGATGAATTATTAACAAGGAAGATCGTTCAAATATATATATTAAACTAAAGCTCTCTATCCATAAAACTCGAATATCTATATATACATTTATATCCGAATAGGGATACTTATTCAATTGATTCGCAATTGACAGATATACAAGACCAAGGCCGAAACAATATACGCGATTCTGCGTAATGCGCTACTTTATTAATCGATAATATCTCCACGAATAAGACGAATTCCTCTCTGCGAACAATTGAAAAATTAAATAACGGTGTGTAAAAAACGTAATTTAATCGAGTAACGAGAGACATTTATCGGTGATACCTTTGGTTGGTACACGTGGATCGGTTGGCCAAATTTGTGGCGAATTGCGAGCCGATGGGAAAACCAAGGCAGCCGTTCCATCGCGTTATGGAAATTTCGGGAGGCCGTGCAATTATTTGGATCGATCGGCGGCAAGGGCAATCTCTTTGCTCGTTCGCGGTGCTCCACGGTAACGGAGGGTAGATCAAAGGGGCCGGTTTCCCTCTCTAATTACGGAAAATTTCGTTTCTCGAAGGTATTTAGTCCGGACGGGAGGGAGATTTCCTTTCCTTACGCGAGGGGAGAAATCTTGGCTTCTGTGCGCCGAGAGAAGCGTGAGACACGCGAGGCCTCTCCCGTGTATATTCCCGTCTCGGGCCAAAGATCGAGGATGACAGCGGTGCCAATCTCTTAACCGGGAACGATACCTTTCGTGACCAAAAATTGACGTTGATTTCGTCGACGCGGAGCTTCTTACGAGGGGATTAACGAAGATCGAGTGGTATATACGTACACAGTGCTTCGAAAATAGGGGCTGAAATTTATATAAGGGTAGAAGGTATAGGAAAAATTGAATAGCAGTAATCTACTTTTTTAAAACATATTTTTGCTCTATGGTAAAAAGAAAAAATTGAATGCTTCAAAAATAGAGAGAGGGAAGGGGGATACGATAAAGTTTAATTATTTATGAAGCATCCTGTATAAAGAGAGAGGATATTAAGGAATAAAGAGTTATTCATATTAAAGAAGCCTTTTATCAAAAAGTTGGGTCGAGTAATCTGAAAAATTAAATAGCTAATTAACAAGTTTGATATCTCCCTCGTTATAGCCTGATATCAACGATTCACGAAGTTCAAAAATCTCCTATTAAACATTCAATTACGTACATACCCCTGAGGGGGTACGATTTTGTTGTAAAAATCAAAAGCTCGGTGAGACGAGTCGCTTCATACCTCGTCGATTCCTTCTTGGAATAGGTCAATTAAGGTCAACGATCGAAGGAGCCGAGGAAAAGGAAGCGTGGAAGGATCGTTTTCGTGATCGGGGATGGTTTTATGGCGCGTTTAAACCAGAAGGGAAGAGAGAGAGAGAGAGAGAGAGGGAACGCTTTGGTTTTGATGGCGTGGCGACGAGTCGACGAACGAGGCCCGTTTAATGACCGAGTTACGGCCAAGATTGCCGCGAGAACGAGTCGTTGGTTCACGATGTGACCGGAAATTCGAGCGACACCATAAAAAGTAACTTTCTTAAAGCAAAAACGTTAATTTACATAATATATACTCTCCTTTGCTAAAAGACGTAGCAACAAATAATATCACAAAGTGTAAACAGAATTCTTATGATCTCAATTTCAGTTTCTTCGTAATTATACAATTTCAAAAAATAATATCCAATTCCCTAAATCTTTTTCACTTGTGAAAGTATTCAGGATAGAGGATTCGAAGCTCGATATTCTCGATTCCAAAGATGATCTTCCCCGAAGATGAATTCCGGCAACGTTCGTATCAAATTCTCTCCCGCTGAAACTGACCCACAAACCGGCCATCAATTCACCAGGCCGTATGAAAAAAAGATACACCAAGATTCCATCCCCAATCTCGTCCAATCCATCGTTTCAAATTCACCCCGAAAAATCCTGCGTGCTGATCCAACGATCCACCTCCATCCTTATATCCTTTCTCCACTTTCCTCGCCACTCGCCTTCCAAAATAATAATACCGCCCTTTAACTGGCCTCGTTCCAAAAACTCGAGTCTGGTTAACAGTGGTTGCTCGAGTGGTTACGCGTTTATGATAATGAGCGGCTGATTCCACGTTTTGTTACCCCGGCTGGCTGGCTTAAAACGCGGCCTCGAGGCGCGGCCTAAACTTGTCCGGCAATAACTCGCGATTCACCCTTTTATGGGATTAAGAGATGCCACCGATGCCCGAGCTTTACGGGGCAAAGTCTGGAGGCGCGCCAGGGTAAGTAATTGGCCGCTGCGGGTGGAGATAAAGCGGTCAAGCTGGCGCGTGCAGCTCGAATGTATAATTTTTTGGCCCGAGGCGGTGGATGATACGGGCTTAGTTTCACGTTGTTATTAAAGGTTTTATCAAAGGCGACTCGTTCCGACGATCTGCGTGAATTTCTAGGAATCGCGAGGAATTTTCCTTCAACCTTCCTCTTCTTCAATTTTCTTTAAAATTTAGAAAACTTTCTTAATATTCGTATATCCATGAGCGAATCTTCTTCTTAATCTATTTCTTAAAAGTCTCGTTATAAATATTCTCCATATAGTTAAAATTCTCTATATATTGGTATCGAGTGATGATTATTCTTCTAGAAATGGCCACGCGAGTATTAATTATGAAAAAAGAGAAAGAGAGAGCTCCGCTAATTAACAGGCGGAAAACGAGTGGAACGATGAGGCGGAATCGTCAGTAACTCATAGAAAGAAGGAGGGGTTCATGAAGGCCAATTAACCATCCGCGTCTGCGTCGAAGACGCAACGGTCCTCTTAGGTAAACGCGAATAAGTGACTCGGGAATTTTCGAAGCCCGTCTCGAATCCCAAATGAGGGCGGTGTGACGAGAGGGGAGCGATGGAGAGAGGAAGGTTTGGAGGTTTACATTTAATTAATTAGACGGGCGGCGAGCTCGGTGTTGAAAGGGAAAACGAGGAAGCATCGGAGCTGGACAGTGAAACGCGTTTAAACGCGCTGCTTTCATCTCTGGACCGCGTCCACCGCCGAGGCTGACCGCTCGCTCGCGCGAAAATACGCGTGGAGTGTTTTGTACCCCCTCTCCATGCACGACCGGTAACGTAACTTGCTAATTTTCGCTAATTTTGGCAAAAATACCCTCACTCTGTACAAC